TTAAAACACTATATACAATTCATATAGGAATACAAATACATACTACAAAAAAGGAAGGTTCAACAGCCTTAAAATAACCCCAGCAAAGACTATTAAATTATTCCACCCTTAGCTATAGTCCCCTGAATATTTGCCTAGTATCCCACCTAGGAAGTAACACCATTCTACTAGCCATGTTCATTCCAGGGCTCCCAGAAGAGTAAAGTCAATCCTGTCAGGTTCATATGGACGCTGCTTTGAGATCTTGAAAAGATTTGATCATAAATGTGGTAAAATAACTTGAGTGAGAGGAGAGGGGGAATTTTCATCCACCAATCTTCAAAAGTTTCAATCCCACAGTCCTTTTTACAAATACAAGCTACTTGCTGGCTGAGGGCCAAGCTTCTCAGTTTTAAGGAATTTATATCCCAGAGAGCTGGACTTTCCCTTTCCTCAAAAAGAGGACTTTAAATCCTTCAACCCAGTAAGACAGAGAAGCTTTCTATTCAGATTTTAGAAGGGTCCTAAACTCCATCTCTCACTTTCATCCCATTCTGAAGCAGAAGACCATAATGGGGCCACCTGAACTAAGATGGAACTTAGTCAACTGAGAGCTCTGAAATGGACCTGCTAGCCAGGAAAGACAACAGTCTCATTGATGTGAAAATTCCCTCCTTCTGGGGCAAGGCACACTCCAGCACACTCCCATAAGGATACTAAGGGCAGCCTTACTTTGGCATATCCTAACTTTTGAGTGCTTGACATTATTATTGTATATAGACTATAATTTGAGCTACTTGTGTGTTAAGCTTGAGAATCTATTTTGTAGTTAGACTATTTTTCATAAACAACCCATTCTTCTATAATTACTACTACAGTCAACCTGGTCCTGGTTCTCATGATTTTTGAAGATGGGAGAACAGGCAACAGTGCCTAAAGACCCCCTTTTGTCCTACAACTACTCATACGCTGAAGGAACAGTCTTATTTTGCAACAGTCATGGACTCTATTGCCCTTGTTTTTACTGAACTCGGTTTGTTATAGAGTTTTGTTATGTTTTGTGACCAGGCTCTTTCATCAGTTCATTTATTTGTAACTATATAGAAAAAGATAATTGTAGAGTCGCCAGCACATTAAAACTCTGTGCTTTATGCCTAATGCCAACATACCTAGTGAAGCACATTAGACTATGCAGTATCTTTCTATATTACATTACATTTTTTGCTTAGACTTAACCATCATAAAATGTTTATGCAAGGATATCTCAAAAGTAGAGATTTTTGATATGCTGCTTGGAGATTATAAATGAGGAAGGGCGAGAAGAGCTAGTAGTAAGATGATGATGAGACATATAAGCCCCTTTTTGTCATATTCTAATTCTAGCAAAAGCTTATTTATATGTTTATATGGCAGAGTTCAAAAAGCTCCTAGCAAAGAAATCTATCACTTTGGAAGTAGTGACAGATGTTAACAGTGCAGAGGCAAAGGCATGAACACTAAAAAAAAAAGACCTCTTTAAAAGCAAGGAACATACTAATGTTCACCTTTCACCTCCGTGTCACAGTTACAATCAAGTGCTATGCAAGTAGTGACTGAAAGTGATAGTATCTGATGGCTACTCTGAAATGAACTGATGGTTTCAACTTACTTCCAAGAGGACATTTATGCACATCACAAAACCATAACCCCCACTGGTACCTCTGTTTGCTATCTCAACAAGGAGGGCAAGAATTCAATGGCTAAGGAGAGTGAATTACTCTCTCCCCTTTAGAGGTGACCCCGTCAGGTCACAGCTAAGGATCACTTGCAGAGCAGTTTGGGGGAAGCCTTCTCCAAAGACAGAAAAAGAGACATTGAATTCAGAAGTGGCTCCTCCAAGTGGAGTTCAGCCTCACTAGTGTCTAAATCTCTAGCAGTCAGAGGGAAGTTTAAGATGTAACCCTTCCTGACCCTTCTAAATGTTTCAGGTGGAGCCAGGAAGGAAATGGGGAGGGTGGCTTTTTCTTTAAAACTTGTTTTCCCATTGCCTAAAAAAGTCCCTTACAGTTCCAAGTGCCACTTCCGTCATCACTTCAGATCTCTGGTTCAAGGGGAGCTGGAGGATTGTAATCACAGGACCTTTGTTACCAACCAGGAAGACTGCTAGCAGCCTTGGACAATGGGTGCTTCTTTTCCAAAATGGCCTATTTTCTTATTGCAGCTCTGCCTGGCTCCTAACAGAACTGCATTCACACTGGAGGATAATTATCCTTTGCTATTTCTGTTAAATAAGCTGATTCTCGAGTTGGCTTTTAAAATCTTAAATAGAACATAAGACTTGCCATGCTTATTCAGAGCAATGGCTTACCTAGTCTAATACTGTGTTTCCCACAGTGGCCAGAACCAGATGCTCTGGGTAAAGACGCAAGAAACCCCTGAAGCGAGCAATTATAAAATAAACTCCCCATAAGGAAAAATTTTCCTAGCCACCTCAGTAACAGATTGAGTAACATGCTGTGAAGCATGACAGTTTATATCCCTTCCAAACTTCTTTTTTTTTTAATCCTTGCTATTGTAACTGTGGGTGCTCATTATCCATTTTTTTTAATCCTGCTAAACTCTTGGTCCTTAATAATATCTTGTGGCAGGGAGTCCCACAGGCTAATGTTGTCATGTAAAAAGTATCCTTTTATCAATTTTAAATTTGCTGCCTTTCAGTTTCACTGAATGTCTTCTGTTACCCTTTCTCATAACAAGAACAAGAAGTGCCTGGTTTACCTTCTTTATACTGCTCATCATTTAAACCTTTCTTTCCAGGTGAGAGTGTACCATTGATTTCTATAGTGATGTAACAGCTCCCCAGAAGTTCTGAGAAGTTCCTCTTGGGATTGTTCAACTCTTCACTGCCTTCTACTCAGTACTGAGCTTTAATGACACTATCTAGTTGCAATATACTCCTTTGCGTTATTTACACGCAGGCTTTTTTGTTGTTTTGAAGGCTCTGTTTGTCTGCAGAGAAAAATCTATCCATCACTTAACAGCTTCCATTCTACTTTATCACTGGTATTTTCTAAGCAGAAACACATTGTGAACATTTACTTTTACCCAAGTGAAGAGGGTGAACTACAAAAGGCAAGCAAAGATTTTCAATGCTTGATTTAGCTTTTGCAAAAACATCCAAGTTAGAACTCTAAAGAGAAATATTGGAATATATTGGATTGGATTGTGTTCTGGGAGGCCTATAGATTACAAAGGAAACATTCAAAACATCATACTTTCGTTGGCAAAAGGAACACAGATTTAAAAGCGAAAATGTAAAAGTAATGCTGGATTTGGTTTTGGTTTAGTATTGCAAAATTTAGGGGTTTTAAATTGTAATTCAAGTTTGGGGAAAAACAATGTTCCCCACTTGTGATACTTTATTTCACATTTATTTTAAAAACAAGCTCTATTTGGCCTATTTCAAGTTTTGCTTGACAGAAAAGGAAACTATGTTCCAAAGCCTAAACTGTCCCCCTGTGTTCTTCAGTCATCCAGCCCTCTCTGGCTGTATGTGGGCTCATCCCATCACACGTTGGTGACTGGCAATGGGAGCTCTCCCCGTACAACTGAATGTGGCGGCAATTCTTCTATTCTTTCCAGTAATAAGAGGTGAGGGTTACCATCTTCTAACCTTACTTTAGATGCCAGAGGTTTAGAATGTGGACCAAATCTCACAAAACTGGGAAAAAAGTATTTCCAGTGTAGGCAAAGCACGTACCTTTGTGGGATATAGAACATGTGCTGGGGAGGCGGTTTGTAGAGAACACCATCATAGACTGGCCACAGACCACTTAAAATTCTGAAAAGAGAACTCTTTCCACAACCATTGGGGCCAGTGATTAAAAGATGCATTCCTTCCTGTACCTAAAATAGTCATGAAAACGATAAAACAACCACCTTTCAAAATATATCACTTTTACCATGAAGCATATAATGACACAATCTAGCACACCCCACAATGAAACCACCTAAGCATTTAGTTTAAGTAAGTACAAATTGTGAAACTGGCTACAACTCTTATTCAGTCTCTGCTTGAAAAACTGCATTTGCATAGAATATGTGGATTCAAAGAGCAAAAGCAAAGGAACCAGAAGAAATCATGTTTACTAGCTCCAAAGATACAATTTAGATGTTTTTTTTTCTAATTTAGGAAACAATCCAGATGGGTATGGTATTACTTACAAAAGGCTATTTTGTGGAGGGACATGAGTCATTAGCACTGAAACCTTTTTTAACATTTGGGCACTTTGTGTCTTGGGTAAAATCTGACTGCAGTTCATTTTAACATGTAGCAAAATTAGACCCTAGTCACATAGAGCTGGGAAAAACATGCCCACATACCATATGTCACTATCTATGATGAATCTTGATTTCAGTATTCCTTGTTCTGCATCTACAGATCATATTTAGAGCCAAATATTCCCCTCAAGTACTTGCATGCACTGACTTCAATTTGAGGAGACTGTAAGGAGTTAAGGACACTCACTACCTTACAAACGTTAACATTTCTATAACTACACTAAATTCCATCACAATCTCATTAAACAGCATATAGTATTTTTTGTATGGGTGAATTAGACACAAAGGGGTGAACCTCAAAATTCCATTTCTGCTCATATAGTGTCATTTTTATGCATTTCTTATATACATACACATACATACATGTATATATATATATACACACACACACACACCTTTGTTTATTCACCCTATACACCCCTATACTTCCCCCCACCCACCCACCCAATAGCACTGTTTGTGAATTCTCTCTATAAATATACTAGGTAAAGTGTACAAACATACAGGTATCTCTGCCTGAATATCAGTCCATCATTTTATAGTGCTAAACGAAATACATTTAAAGTAGCTGGGAGTTTTGCCAAATTAAAGGCCCTATTCTGCCAGATGCTGACTATTTCTTTAAAGGGGCTCCCTCTCTCTGTCTCTCGCACACACCCAGAATACAAATACAGAGGTAACATGAGCAATTAGATGCATAAATGAGGTAGTGGACGTTCTCATGCAACTTTCCAATGCTTTCACCTATTTCTATATAATTACTGCACTAACATTCAATATTGTGACATATTTTGGAATCATTCAATAAATGAAATGCATTAACAATGTGATGCCAATAGGAATTGATTGCTATTTGCAATAAATCATTGAAAACAATGTGAGTTTTTACTGAGCAAAGATTGTAGGATTGGGCCTGTCAGCTGTTAGTTACTATTGATCCTTGGAGTGGTCAAGTGAAGTTCCACAGACTCACTGTTTGCTCTAATGTTGTGGACTTGGAAGATTTTTAAAGCATCCTAAAGGTGTTAAGCACCTCAGTCCCATAGAAATTCAATGGGAGTTGGATGCAGAACTCCCTTAAGCAATTTTGAAAATGCAGCTGTAGTTTTTAATCTGACAATGACACAAGTCAAACCATTCCTTCTCCTCTCTCTCCATTTTCTTTGAGCAGGATACACTGTACATATCTGCCTCTAGTGAGCCACTATGCCTACCTTTCTTGACTTCCCCTCTTCTCCAAGTATTTAACATAGGGTACATGAACTCTGTGTTGTTTTGTGTTAATGTGATGGCAACAATCAGAAGATTCTTGCATATCATCTTACTTTGAAGTTTAGTCTGGAAACCACCACATCTCCATTTGGGGTAATAATAGGAACATTTTCACAAACAATTCCATGATCAACATCAATAACTTTTCCTACAAATTAAAAAAAAAGTTAGTGAAACATTCAGGGGGTCAGTGATATCTATTAGTCCAAGAACAGGGCTGAGAGCCACGAATTTCTGGAGTTTGTATGTCCCTTCATGCTTCAATCACCATTCTAGAGGACATGCGTCCATACTGATGACGGATTCTGCTTGATAACGATCCAAAGCAGTGCGGACTGACGCATGTTCATTTTCATCATCTGAGTCAGAGGCCACCTGCAGAAGGTTGATTTTCTTTTTTGGTGGTTCGGGTTCTGTAGTTTCCACGTCAGAGTGTTGCTCTTTTAAGGTTTCTGAAAGCATGTTCCACAGCTCGTCCATCTCAGATTTTGGAAGACACTTCAGATTCTTAAACTTTGGGTGGAGAGCTGTAGCTGTCTTTAGAAATCTCACATTGATACCTTCTTTGCATTTTGTCAAATCTGCAGTGAAAGTGTTCTTAAAATGAACAACATGTGCTGGGTCATAATCCGAGACTTCTATACCAGGAAATATATGGCAGAATGTGGGTAAAACAGAGCAGGGGGCATACAATTCTCCCCTAAGGAGTTCAGTCATCAATTTAATTAACGCATTTTTTTTAAACGAGCATCATCAGCATGGAAGCATGTCCTCTGGAATGGTGGTAGAAGCATGAAGGGGCATGCGAATGTTTAGCGTATCTGGCATGTAAATATCTTGCAATGCCAGCTACAAAAGTGCCATGTGAATGCCTGTTCTCACTTTCAGGTAACATTGTAAATAAAAAGTGGGCAGCATTAGCTCCTGTAAATGTAAACAAACTTGTTTCTCTTAGTGACTGGCTGAACAGGAAGTAGGACTGAGTGGACTTGTAGGCTCTAAAGTTTTACATTGTTTTGTTTTTAAAATATTTGTAATAAAAATAATAATATAAAGTGAGCACCATACACTTTGTATTCCATGTTGTAATTGAAATCAATATATTTGAAAATGTAGAAAAACATCAAAAATATTTAATAAATTTCAATTGGTATTCTATTGTTTAAGAGTGCAATTAAAACTGTGCTTAATCACGATTAAGTTTTTGAGTTAATCGCATGAGTTAACTGTGATTAATTGACAGCCCTACATATTTTGTCAAGTCTTAAACTAATCCAAATAAAGAAACAATTAAATACAGGATTGTTACACATGGATCTGGTAGCACTGCCTATAATTAAGGTTGCCTTACACTTTCCATTATAAGACCCTGTTTTCAGTTGCTTATAACTTTACCAATCTGTAACTATTTGGGCTGAAATTTTCCATGTTGGGCATTTTCCTCAGGCTGAATTTTGCAAAGTTTCAGCTAAAATATTTTGGTGGCTTCTGGGAATGAAATTAGGGTTGTTCTTCCCATCTTAAAATAGTTCTTACAACCACTTAGTTGAGAAGCTCTGTTGCTTCCAAGCTCTGGAGCAGGAACTTGAAATTTGGCAGACAGGTCACCCTGATGTCAGGGATGTGCCTTATGCCATCTCCATGAAAATTCATCCAAATTTGGCCAAGTTATAAGCCTCTGAAAAAAGTTTGAACATAAAGGCTTGTTAGAGTTTGGCAGCTACATTCTCTGAATAGTCCATCTGTTGCCTGCCTCATTTGTCGGAGAAGCTGGAAAATGTGTAGTGAAGGAGGCAGGAGACCATCAGAAGAGAATATATAAGTCTTATGGTTAGAGAATTAAAATGCTATCCTGGAGAACTAGATTCTACTTGATTGTCTCTGCCATGTGATGCTGGACAAGCCACTTGAACCAAAATCACCACCATTGGCCACTAACTGTGCGTTCCTTATTTTCTAGGTGCCTGACGTCAAACAGCTCGGACCAGATTTTCAGGAGTGCTCATGACTGCAACAGAAGTCAAAGCTGCATTTTGGACATATAAGGTGTTATAAAAATACTAAATAATCTGAAACCCCTAGGCGTCTCAAGTTGGGCACCTATGACATATTTGTCCTTAATTTCTCTATGCCTCAGTTCCCCAGCTAGAATACAGGGATAATAATACCCTCAAACAGATGTTGTGAAGATCAATTCATTAACATTTGTAAAATATTCAGATATCATGGTGAGAGTTGCATAGGTAACATTAATTCTGGGATTTCCTAATATTTGAGTGCTTGACTTTGCGACCTTAAGGCTCTCTTAATGTAAGGGGGTTGGAGGTTGTTTGTTTTGTTTTTTAATGTAATGAGGCATATAAATTGATAGCACAGCTACAAAAATTAAGTGATGATCCTTTTTTATAATTCTGAATGATAAGATAAGGAAAGACTAAGTAAAGTAATATATTATTGTTATTTGACTAAAGTATTTAAAAGGTTGTATGCAGTGTAGTTGTAGCCATGTTAGTCCCAGGATATTAGAAAGATAAGGTTGGTGAGGTAATATCTTTTATTGGACCAACTTCTGTTGGTGAGAGAGACAAGCTGAAAAGCAGCTCTGTCTGGCTCGAAAGCTTGTCTCTGACCAGCACAAATTGGTCCAGTAAAAGATATTACTTCACCCGCCTTGTCTGTTTAAAAGGTTGTCATTCTTTCTTAGCCTAGATCAGTAAAGTTATGGGCTGTAGTAAATACAGAGGATAATATAACATTATTTGGTGGCACAAGTTGATACTGACGATTTAAGAGGAAATAAGTGGTGTGGGGCAATGTAATAAACTTGCCTTAAAATACATGGATTTTTCTTTTAACAATATGCACACTTACATGTATGCACACATGAGTGTACACACATGTGCACAGATACCCACCCACGCACCCCTCCACTGTTATAAATTCCTATGCAGGGATTTCTGAAATTATCAAGGCTGAAAGAAAGGAAGAAAAATGTTATTACAGTGGAACTTCTGATGGGAGAGCCTCAGAAAATATGTTGCCTCTGCAACTGTAGTGGAATAAAGTCTTGGTATGGACTGAAGAATGGGATGCTATACCACATGGAAACATCAGCAGAGTTCTCATATTTGAACTGCATTCAGTCTTTAAAATAACTAGGCAGTCATGCTAAAGAACAATTGCCTGTGGGCCAAGGACATTAATTTACCACTATTTGGTCTAAAAAACCCTTTTCTCTACTACATTACAAAATGTAGCTATTACAAAATGTTGTTTATTTTATTGGTAATCACACATTGTCATGTCCTACAAGGTCAAGAAATCAGTTAATGCTTACTGTTAATGTTTGTGCCGCCTCAGGGTGTTTATTATGACCCTGTTGAGAAATCTGTGCTGAAGGGCAATAATGTTGTAAGAGAAGGAAGAAAATATTTCACACACAGCAGTTTAACTCCTTCGCCTCTGAATAGCTACTTTTTTCCTGTGGGGGTGGGGAAGGGATTTGGTTTGTCATCAGCAGCTGGGAAGCAGGAAATGGAAGGAGTCCAATGTGGGTAATCAGGAGAAGTAAATGGCAAAAGGCCATATGAGGGGATTGGGAAAGAAATTGGATGGGGGTGAGGGGTAGAGACAGAAGGTGAGTAATGGGGCACAGTGAGAATTCAGTCAGAGGGCACATACACAGACCTTAGAAGGAGGAGAAAGAGGGGAAATGACAGAACGTAGAGAGTAGGAGGAGCAAGGGGAAAGGCAGGCAGGAGGGTTGGAGCTGATCAGAAAAATTTTCAGTGGAAAATTGCGTCTTTTTGTTGAAAATATGAAAACTGAACACATTTTGATTTTCAGTGCCTGACGTTTTTTAGGCCAAATCCTACTAAAAACATCAAAATTTTTCTCTTTTCAGATGAAAAATTTCAGGTTTCAGTTTTCTAATTAAAACTAAAAAAATGTAAAGGAAAGCAGATTCTTTCTGGGCGAAAAAATGTCAAAAAACCAATTTTCTGTGGAGGTTTTGATGGAGAATTTCCAGCCAGCCCTTGTGAGAGTACATTGGGAAGGAATCTCAGGGTTGTCTGCTGGGAGGCATAGAAAACTGCAAAGAAGTAGGTTAGGAATATGTAATGGGAGGAGAGTTGATCTGTGGCAACTTTGAAATAGCAGCAAGGGTTGTGTAAAGAAAGACTTTGTTTATACCAGTAAAGTTGCATAGTAGGCTGAAGAGTTTATAGAGAAAAGTATCAAAATATGAATTACCCACCCTTGATTTCCAAGGGGCCATCAATGTGTAATTCTGTTTTATCTTCATTCTTGCTGTTGGTTTCAATCTCTTGAACAACAGCAGTTCTTTTGTAAATGCCCCTCTTCACTTCATCAAAGACTGAAAACATGTTGTACACTCGAGCTGTATAGCCTGCTAACTCGGTGACCTGAGAAACAACAAATGATCTGTTTAAATTACATAAACTGGAAACTGGAAATTAAATACTTTGTCCAGTCATTTATGGATAGCATTCCCAATCGTTTTGACTCAGTACTACTTAGATTTCATTCTGGATTAAGAATAAAAGGAAATTTTTCCTCACCAATTAATTTTATTTCTTTGAGATCTTCTCTGACAGTCCCCCCAGATGCACACGTACAGTTCCTATCTGCCAGCAGATGGCGACATTACGTTGAAGGACAGATCCTAAGCTGACGTAAATTGGTATAACTCCAATAAAGGCCTTGAGAATTTTTAGTGATGTCATCACCAGCAAATAAGGGGGCTGCTAGCTCCCATCTGTCAGCTGAATCTCCTAAAGCAGTTCCTATAATAGCAATTTATTGTGCAAAATACACCACACACAATTTTTAGACCTTGGATCCCTAGCATAAAACTTGATGTTTGAAAAAGTCCGGGAAATTTGCAGAAGACAGTGCTAAGCTTGAAGGGAGGAAGCCTGGACTGGCATAGAAGATATCAAAGAAAGAAAATTTAACACATAAGGAAAATTTTCCTCTCTTTGATTTTCTGTGCCAAGCCAGATGTTTGGCTACCTCCAAAAGCAATGCTGTGCCATACAGTAGGCACTGATTATACCTCATGAAAGCTGCCTTCAGCACTCTCACCAAATGATGAATCAGCTCATGCCTGAACATTACATTTGCTGAACACTACAGATTAAACAGTGAAGGACATATACCCCAGGTGGCTGCCTTCCCTATCTCCTGTAGTTCTGTATACACCTTCCAGGACACAATGCATTTAACTTTCTAATGCCACACACTCTGAATGCTTCTGGGACTTCCTTGCTGGCACTGAAGCAACTTTCCCTGACTAGAGACTTCATTCTCTTGGAAGGAATGGATTTGGATGCTGCTCACTTTGTTTTTCTTTCTTCTGTGGCTCTCATGCTGTTGTTGTGAGGCTCTGAACTGCTGAGCCTTTTTGCGAGATTCCTAACACCCATCATGGGTCAATGTGGAGAAAAGCATGCCAGTGTACCATTCTATTTAATTGCGAGGGCATCTGTGGTGCTAGAATTCATATCTTTAGTCCTGCTGAATTACTTCTCTGCTGTTCTGTTGGACTCTGTGGCAATCTAGTCTGTTTAGATCTTCTATTCTGACAAATTCTCTCAAAAAACTCACTCCTCTTTTCCACTCTTCCTAGCATATTTAGGATCTGTTTGGCTAGTCTGCACTGTTGCATACTCTGACTATGGGAATAACAAATAGGATGGCTAAGAGGAGCATGGGGGGCTGCTTTCAATACCTGGTTTTCCTTGGCCATCTCTTTGCTCTGGGTCAGTTTATTTGAGTGAGAGATGGTGGCTGTTCAGTGTACCCACACCAAAACATTTTTCAGCCTGTGGTGAAAGTGCAGAGGAACGAGTCCAACTGTTCTCCTCCGGATATGACAGACAGACTCGTACATTTGTCAGCGAAAACTACTACAGGGTCATGGTGTACCCCAGGTACTCCCCTCTCTATACACTGGTATCTGGAGTCAGGATTCCTGGATAGGCTGAGGCCCCAGAGCAACTGAGACTCAAATGAGAGAGGAATCTAAAACTGCAAGGAAGGCTCTCCAGCAGACCCTGGCAAAGGTCTCCTTTGTTCAGGCCTTTCTCCACAGCCATTGAAGATACTGATCCTCAGCCTGCTGGAGACAGAAACAAATGAGCTCTAGGACCTGGCAAGCCCCTTTTCTTGCAGGTGATGACCTCACCAAAAAGTCTCAATGTACTGTCTCCATCTGCTGGCAGAGAGGAATTACACCCAAGCATCTGCAGTAGTATAGAAGACTCCTCATTGCTGGAGTACTTCCCTGCCGTAGGAAAAGACTGCCGTAGGGGGAAAGGCTCTGACAGAGGGGAGCTGCTAGAACCTTTCCCAGCTGCCTCCCCCACTGCTGGAGCCTTTCACTGACACATGTAGCAACACACCACAGTGTGAATGCAGGGTGCTTTTCAATGTAGCATGTAGCACACGTACCTTACACGCCACCGAAAGTGGTGTGTCGTTTAGACATAGCCTTAAAAAACAAATACATTAGCTAGTTGTAGTAAAGCATTTAGAGATAGCCAGATCCAAACCTGGTGTTAGAAGACGTCTCTGGTGTAAGGAAGTGTAACTCTAGACAAGTCCCATAATTGTACAAAATTCAAGAACAGCTATTTGTTATGAATTATAAGGTCCTGCTCTCAGTCATGGTTTTATAAGAGTATAGGAGTTTATAAGGAGAACTTTACAAAACCCATGGTAATTATCAAATGTTTCAACTCCATGAGTAAGCCTAGACTGTCCTGCATTGGCAGGTTTTTGTCTCTAACACTTGTGAAAAGAGTTGTACTGACAGTATTTAAGACTGAAGATCTCCTGCTACCAGTAGAGCAAGTACAACGTGGACAGCAGCAGGACAGACCTTTCCACATTGTCTCACCAGTGTGCCCTCCATACTGACCTGCAATGACCACTTCTAAATATGACAGTGTAGTTCAGTCTCCAAGCCTATTCAAGGTCTGATCCAACTCCCACTGGGAGACTTTCCAGTGAATTCAGTGGGAGTTGAATCAAGCCCTCAATCCTTGGCCTTTGCTAAGCCTGCAAACCAGCATTTCAAACAGTGTTCTCTGTTACAGTGATATTTGTGATACTGAATGCTGTACCCTATGAACAAACCTTAGACCATCATCTCAACTCACACGCTGCAAGAAAGGTAACAGGTGGTAACAGTTTCAAAAGCATGAGCCTGTAGACTTACCCATCAAAACACTGAAAATTTGGATTTACAGTGGTGGCCTACAGACAAAAAATAAAATTGCAAAGAGCCAAACATTGCCCATCTTACTAATGAGGTCAGTTCCAGTGACTGCTACAGGGCTGCTCATGTAAGAAAAGGGAGTGGGATTCGTACTTTATTACCATAAAATATTAAAGTTCACGGGAAGCATATTACCATTCGATGGAAATTGCCTAAAAGTAACTTAGAATAAACTATGAAGGTGTGGTATCCCAATACTACTTTGGCAAAATTTTATGTATAAAATTAAGATGGAAGCTCAGCTCCCTGGGTCTTTCACTTCATACTCTCTGAATTAAAGTGTAATTGTGTTACAAGTCAAATCAGTTTGCTGTCTTTCACCTATTATTTAGTGGATATTTTTTCTGCGTCATAAAGCAGCCATGTTTGCAAGGCGCCATGTAAATGTATAGCATTATATAAATGATTTTAACACTGAATGCTAATAGTAACACCTTCACATAATTGGTAACCAGGCAGTCTCTCTACATTGTAGGCCAAGTATTGAAACAGATGAATCAAAAATCACAGTCTATTAGAAGAACTGCTTGAGAAGTCTGCACAGTATCTGGCTCTAGTCTAGAAAATGCTGTCATGGTTTATACTCATGGGCCACAAATTATCCCCACATTAAAATACTATCTGTACTTAAGTTACTGAGAGCTAAATTCTGCAGTCTTCACTCAAGACAAACTCCCATTGATTTAAGGACTGCAGAATCTGCCCCAATATGATTACAAAAGAAAGTTTAAAAAAAAATCTTACATTTGCAAATTCTGTTTTATTTTCATTTATTTCTCTTTTCAGTTGTATACTACAAATGACACCCAATACCTCTTTGTAAGAAGACATAATCCTTTCAATGGCATCTGCTCCAGAGGCCAACAGATTTCGTGAAGTAGTAAAGGCTTCTGTTCGCTCACTAACCATTGCTTGTTTATGGCCATCTTCTAACTCTAAAAGCAAAAAATGTTCTTCTGTTCAAATATTCTTCTGAAAAATATCTCTACAAATTAAATTATGGTTAAAATGTGAGCCATTATTAAAACAGATATTAAGTTAAGAACACTAACTCTATGAAGACAACTTTCTTAAAGGAATCAGAAAGGCAAACAATTGGCATAAAACTTCTAGTAACAAAGAAAAAATGGGAGTATGAGAAATTCTTCTTCTTACACAAATCATCCTTTTTTCTTTTTAACACCCATCAACCTCTTTTTCTTTTTAATATACTATTACTCAGTCTGAGTTTTACCACAACTGTAGTGAATCAAACAGAATTTCAGTTTCATTGTTTTGTTTTTACTAGTACTGCTATTACTCATTTTCAACCTTACTTAATTCTTCATTCCACTTAAAAAGGAACATTCATACTGATGCACATTTGGCAAAATTAGAACATTTTATAAGAATGCAATTAACTGACAGTAAGTTTCTATATTCCTCTTGGTAGTATTAGAGGGATCTGTGTCTGAGTAAGAGTCTTCTTTCTCACAACCCAGTTTCTCTGTCTGTTTGATCCCATAATCCTTTGTTATAACATTGTAGCCTGTTAGCATGAAAATTCTTCTGAATCAAATAAGAGCAAGAAGTGATGTCTGGTGAGAAAATATCCTTAACAACTGACAAAGGCAAAAATGGCAGCCGAAACTAGAGAGGGCATGGGAAAAATAAACACATTTATGTTTCAAGTATAATATCTTCACATGAAGTGTTTGTTTTTCCCAGAGTAAAATTCATTAAGTATTTCATGCCTGGAGTCCAATTCTGCTATTGTGATATCTCTTGCCATCATCACACCCACAGAAACTGCTATACAGCATGGAGCCAACCTGTAATTTCCTCCTCCACAAAATCATCAAGATAATAATGTGGCTGAATTTTTTAAGAATGAATAATGTATAATCCTTAACATTTGCAACTAAGCAAATTAAGATGACAATATATGGTCAACCAAATGTGAAATTTTAGGTTGCAAGAGGGGTTTTGGGAAGATATCCTTAACCAGTCTATAACATTATGCAGACTGGTTAACGGTGCTGCAGATTGGAACTTCTGTCTTTCTCTGAAGTATGGGTACTGCCAGACACTAGGCTAGCCAGACTAGGAGGCTGATCCAGTATGCCAACTCCTACATCAGGAATTATTATTATTATCTTCTATTAGGCTGGCTCAGTGCTTTTAGTCAAGAAAATCTGTGAGCAGTTTCCTACAGGTGTAACGTGATGGTCATTTTATGTGCTGTTCTATGGCAGGTAATGCTAAAGCAACGTAAGCGAAATTTTCTTACGCAGCGAGTGGTTCTCTCACCTCCGTGACAAGGTCAGACTCTGCAGTGTTTGAAAACATAAATCCCGTACCAAATCTTGTTGTACCTGTCTGTATCTTCTTTTTGCTTTTGAAGCTCCTGATACCCAAACGCTAGTTTGTTTTAATTTATCAAACCACCAAAAAAAAAACAACCTGGATAAATACATCCTTGGTATAACTCCACTTACATCAATGAAGATACACAACAGATAAGTGTAAACATTTTGGGCCAAAAATATTATATAGAAAGTTACTGTCATACACATATGACCCCAATTTGGCCTCCCTTTGTCTCAAAATTCAATTTCTGAATTATTTAAGAAAACTGTGGCTGTTCAGATTTTTTAATTTAAGTTATTCCAAGTCAGTAGTGTGTCACCCAGCACACTGGGATATACACATCTGGTACACAATGAGAGTCATGCCTTTCTAAAAAAGGACAGAACCTTCCTCAGTCAGGGTGCGATCCTAAAACCCTCACTTATATAGATAGTCATGTAAGTTGTCACATTTACTCCAATGGGAGGACTCATGTGAATAAGGCTCTGTAGGGAATCCAGTCCTCAGTAGTGATGCCAATTCAGTAGTACAAAACTAAAAAAAAAAAAAAATTATAACTCTTCCTTGGCAGATAACCAAGTTTTACTGATCTAGACAGCATTTTAGATGTCACTGTGGATTTAAAATTGGGTAAATTTGAGGAACTTTAAACTGCTCCAGAACACAATTCTCCATTATTGCATGACTGAAATCAAACCACCAGACCTGCCCAAAATAACTTTTCTTGATCATTTTCTCCAATGTTTTTCACACATAGGCTTTTCCTTCTGTGTTAGAGGAAGTGCCATATTACAACAGACTGGGCCAGTGGTCTCTCTTTAGTCTAGTATCTAGCCTCTGTCAATAGTATAACTTGTTCCCCACTTATAAAACTTCTTAATCCCATTTGTTTTATGGAAAACCCATATTTATTGTGCCTAATGAAATTAAAGTCTCCTTGTCATTAATGTTTAATTTCCAGGGAACTAACTACATTCAGGATATTTTGGTCTACTTGTGTTTTTTGTATGATTCCTTTTGCATACTAGCGTACTATAAAACGACTTACAAAACTCATATACTGTAACAGCAAACGGATATCAGAAAAGGTAGCACTAGCTGTGGTCTGTGTGTATTTTAAATACATACAAATACCTAATTTTTTTTTGGCAACAGTGAAAAGGCTATTGCTGTACTGATGCAATCCCTCCTGTCTGAAGACCATCTATGTGAACAGTTTCAGGTTGATTTCAGGCATGGTCATAAGTTCTAAACACTAGCTATTCGGTTCCAAACACTTCCTGGATTCTAATGGGTTTATTCATCAATGACAGTTCTAGTTCCCATTCCTCAGATTTTAACCAACTTCATTTGCCTTCCACACTTGATCTGATTGGATACAGTACTATTTCGCCAACTAAATCGCCTTCAGCAGTGAGCTGCGCTTGTTGGATTTTTAGCATACCTGGTTTACTTCTTACCACTTGATGGGGTCAATTTGTCACCATTAATAATGCATTTCTGATCTTGTCCCTGTTCTTGTAGAATGCCTCAGGGCTCTGTAATAAGTTCTACACTTTAACATTTTGCATGTTCCTCCTGGCAAATACTCTTCAGTATTACACCTCTCCCCCGATATAACGCGACCCGATATAACACGAATTTGGATATAACGCAGTAAAGCAGTGCTCTGGGGGGGCGGGGCTGTGCACTCCGGCAGATCAAAGCAAATTCGATATAAAAAAAATTAAAAAAAAAAATTAATGGAGATACCCTATCTCCTAGAACTGGAAGGGACCTTGAAAGGTTGAGTCCAGCCCCCTGCCTTCACTAGCAGGACCAAGTACTGATTTTTGCCCCAGATCCCTAAGTGGCCCCCTCAAGAACTGAACTCACAACCCTAGGTTTAGCAGGCCAATGCTCAAACCACTGAGCTATCCCTCCCCCTCACCTATAATGTGGTAAGATTTTTTGGCTCCCGAGGACAGCGTTATATCGGGGTAGAGGTGTATGTGACAGGCCTACCACTGACATGGAGAAGACAGATTTATTTTTCTGACTTCTGCTCCGTCCACATTTTAAACATATTTGTCAGAGGTCCATTCCTGGATGTCAGAGAATGTTACTTACTGTAGAGTTGATATGGGTGAAATACTGCTCCTTTCCTCTATACACCTTTATAGAGGCTCTCTCTCTTTGAAGGACCCTAACCTGTTCATGATTCATGAGGGAAGGGCTAGGGAGGAGACATTTACATTCTGTGGTTAAATAATCTCTTTATCAGTTAAGGGATTTTGCTGAGCTGCATTTATTTCCATTTTAGCAGAAAGTACATTAAATTGGTTAACCTCATTTCTGTTTCCAAAGTACTAAAACACTGTTATCCTTCACTGGTTGTTCTGTATAATATGGACCTGTATAAACTCCTTTGTTTAGAATATGATTGCCAAATTCCTTATCAAATTCAGACAATATGCACAGATTTCACCTGCTCTGAAAACAATCCATTGGTACTTGGTTAAATGTACTGGATTTAAAATTGATCTTTTCATTTACAAAGCATTACAGAATCTTTGCATGGTGAATCTTATTGATTTTTTTAAGACTTCTTATGATTCCAGTCATGTATATGGAGATTTGTTGAGCCAACTTCAAAGTCAGTTTTTCTCTATCCATTTATTTAGCTTAGGTATTGCTAGGATACTTATCATTATAATTTCTAAGCTCTAATATGCAGTATCTAAAAATGTTAAACAGGAATTTTTAAATCATTGTATTCTTTTTTTGTGGATTTCTCTTCTACTGAAGTTAGTATATAATCACAAAGTACAAAGACTTGCACATGTTTCAAGTACATAAAAAGGCTGTTACAAGGAGGAGGGAGAAGAATTGTTCTTCTTAACCTCTGAAGATAGGATAAGAAGCAATGGGCTTAAACTGCAACAAGGTATGTTTAGGTTGGACATTAGGAAAAACTTCCTGTCAGGGTGGTTAAGCACTGGAATAAATTGCCTAGGGAGGCTGTAGAATCTCCATCATTGGAGATTTTTAAGACCAGATTAGACAAATACCTGTCAGGAATGGACTAGATAATACTTCGTCCTGCTATGAGTGCAGGGGACTGGACTAGATGATCTCTTGAGGTCCCTTCCAGTCCTATGATTCTATGTAAACTACAAAATGAACAAGCAAACAATTTGTTTTTGCTTGTTAGTACTTCTTAATCTAACACATTCCCCTTGCCTCCTGCTCTTCCAAGTTGTATTTTTTCCCTGACTTTAAAAAAAAAAAAAACATTTCAGACAAAATTAAAATCAGGGCTTCACTTCGCTCTCATTGCTGGAAGATCTGGACATGATCTTCAGAAGACCTGAATAGTGCTGCCATACAAGCCTATAACCTGAATAGTGCTGTCATAAAAGCCTATAACCTGAGCTTCACTTCTCTTTCTGTACTCTACTTGAGGTGAGAGGAGATGCTGATTCTTACACAGGTCAACACAAAACAGAATAAATAAATATTAATTAATCAATGTTTGTGAAGCATTCTGATACTAAGGTGATGAGCAAACGCCACAGAAAACCCACTAGATAGGTAGGTAGATGGATAGTATTTAGTAATATAGCAGCAGACATTCTGAGAATTGACACACCTTCCCAACCCTGCTTGGGGCATGAGGGCTACAGCTAACATTACAACTTGATGAGACCTCACAGCTTAGGGCCTCCTGTGAAGAGAGGAAAGCGAGCACCTGACATTCTTGATATTGCAAATATAAAAAACAAGATTTTATTTTAAAGTTTGTGAGACCATCTTCATACATCAGAAAGGGCAGTAAACGGTTAAAGTGATATTTATAAACTGCTTAACCACAATTCACCTTGGCATCTTATTTGAAAAACCTATCCTTTGATTCAGAATGTGTTTATCACGCTTAAGTTCAAAGATGCAGTTTCTGTCACTGATATTTCTTCAAATGGTTTGTTTGTAAAGTTTTACACATGCCAGGAGCTGCCCAAGGATGAGGCGTGTATGGTTTGAATATTATAGCACTACAGCTATAAATGGTATTAAAATGAAATGTAGTCTTCTTACATGACTACTCTTCTACACTAATAGTTTTAAAGAAACATTTGAAATTAAATAAAAGTCTTTATTACCGCCATCTGCAAATCCTGTTGCTGTGATGATAGGTACAGCCACCATAATCAAACCACAGCTACTCCAGACATACTTCATCAGGAACTGCTCTATCATGATGTACCATAAACGTTTGGACAATATGAGGTTCATTTGGTCTGCCAAAGCCTTGTAACTTTCCTGTAGTTGTTTCATTTCCACCTATAGTTAAAAAAATGTAAGTATTTACACAGTATAGTAAATATTAATATACATATGAGTACAATACACACACACACGTACATATAATATAATCAAATGACCAGTGTTCGGATTTGAATTCTTCACTATATCTTGCAATCAGTACAGCAAGCTATGTGGTACCTGTTTAGACAAAGGGCCACATTCTCAGTGTAAATCAGCATAGCCCATGGAACTCATTGGGCCGGATTCTGATTTACACCAATGCCCCTTTACCCCACTCTGGCAGTTTTATACCCACTTCACAGTGCCAGAGCAAAATGCAAGCGAGTGATAAAAGCTGTTCCTTACCATCGAAGTAAAACTAGTTCTACATGTTTAATGAAGAGGATTTTAAGAACTATACACCTGTAAGTTGAAACTGCAACTCCATGAACTAGGCAACATTTGGGGACTCAAGCCTACAAAATTCCAATTTATTCCAATGAGAGTTTTGCCTGAGTAAATCTGCAGAATTCATACCCAGAATTGGTATTTCATGTCTTTCAGCAATGTGCCAAGAGGAAGTGATAATGTACATCAAGGAAACGAGTCAAGAATAGTGACAAATCAGTATGACATAATGCAGTCAATTTGAGCCCACACAAAAGTTGGAATAGGAAAAAAAGAATTGAATTACTGTTTAATTTAGCTGCAGTTAATGCAATGCTGCAGACAATTTTTGGTGCTCATTGCTACTATAAAAATAAAATGTTTATGTTGTTTTATTAATACTTTTGACTGAAAGGGTAGTGTGAAATTTTACTATTTTCTTTTTCACATTATGGGAAACTTTTTAAAAAGCCATTTTAAACACATTACAGTCAAAACTCACAATAAAATTTTGAAAATGTCTTCAATATGCTGATTTTTAAATTATCAGTTACTTTTATGTAACTGATAACCTAAATACTGTACTGTATTTCAGCAACTTTAGGACTATAGTGACTACAATTTTTCTTACCTATCTACACAAGACAATGTCAAAGATCGTGTTGCCATCTAAACTACTGCAAAGTTTTCTTCTGAATTACTGTGTGCTACTGATTTTTGCATTTAGAGAAAAAGTATTTCTGTATCATTAAATATTCTTAGTTAATAAAATAGGGGAGAAATAAGAGCCTGGAAAGGTTAAAAGGTAGGGCACCTTTTGGAAATGAGACAGAAGAGGGAAATTAAAATGTATTAGAGAAATGTGATGCTGCTCAGAATACTTTGAGAAAAATAAAATGGGGAATACTCTATACTTCTGTCTCTCTCCATACCATGTGAGAGAGTATGTATCGTAAACAGGTTTAGGAATCAGAGGAATTCATATCCCTCATGGGGGAGAGGGTGAGGGCACATGACCAGCATTATTACAGTAGATCAACATCTAGTAGTACAGCAACAGTTCTGAACCATCTCAGATTTTGGTCCTTGCCTTTATTTCCATTTTACCTTGTGTCCTCTGTAGAAGGCGATCTCTTCCACATTGGCTATAATCCGCGAATGGACGTATCGCAGATAACCCTTTCTATGAGCTTCCTCTGCGACCAGCTTGCCGAATTTGGGCGAGCACGCTTTCAGTACTCTCGCCGTGGCATACACCACCAGGCCTGCCAGCAGCGTAGGTCCGATGGGGCTTGCTCCCCTGGACCTGGCAGTCTGGATAAGACTATAGGATGTCAGCACCACATCCAGGATGGGCTTGGTCAAGTTGGAGTACAGGTGTGCCACCGACTGGGAGAACATCATGATGTCCTCGGTCAGGGATTGGTCGGGGTTCGCCAGCCTCCCATCCATATTGATCACCTTGTAGTAAGTTTGATTGGCAAAGTAGGTCTCATAGGCATGATCCACCAGGCGGGTACGGAAGGCTAGGGCCAGCTTGCACTCCAGGTACCGTATGGCGCTGTTCACAAAAGTGGCAGGGATTGCAATCATGAGCCACTTGATTAATTGGATGGCAAAGCTCCTGGGCTTCTTCTCCACGATGCTCTTGACGATCTTCCCATCCAGCCCGGCCACGTAGATGGAGAGGAAGGTCCGGGAGACCAGAGCCACCGAGTGGAGGCAAAGCCAGCCCGATTCGGCGCTCACCAGCTTCGGGAAGAGGATCTTACGAAGTTCCAGCAGCTGCTTGAAAAATTCCGCATTCACTGCCGGGGAGGCTCTGCCCCGGATCCGGCTGCAATGCAGCGGCTCCTCGTCCCCTCCAGCCCGGCAGGCAGCCTGCAAGCCCTTTTCGCAGGCTGTCTGCTGCAGGCGCTTGCGGAGGATGGGATAGAGGATTTTCAGCCCATATGCCGCAGCCACCAGGCACGCAGCCCTCTTGGCCGCGCTGGATCTGGTCCACTTCCCTCGCCCGGCTGCGGCACGCAGCAGCTGGGTCATGTCGCACAGCCGCAGGGACCGCCGCGGAGCAGGGATGCTCTGGCGCTGGGTCATGCCCAAGAGGAAGACCGCCTAGGAGGGATGTTCATGGAGCCCGGGCATGCCCCATGGCTCCTTCCTCGCCGCCCTTGTCGTGACAGAGGCGGACGGACGCCGGCTTCCACCAGAGGATGGTTCCTTCAATGCACCGAGAGCTGCCGCACGCTGTGATCCGCCGCCGCCAACTCCGCCCCCGCCGGCCGCTCATTGGCTGCGAGGAGCTGGGGACCCCGCTGATCCCTCTGGACCTTCCCCAGCCCCGCGCGGCGCGCTCTGAACGTGCGCCAGGAACGGGGCCGGTCGGTGCTGGCAGCACCCGATTCATGGAGCCGTAAGGCTGCTCAACTAGGGCTACGCATTGGCCTTCGCAGGGGCCATCAGTGCGTCGCTAGACACTGCGAGGACCACGCAGGAGGAGCATCAGAGGGGGAAGGGAAAGAGCAGGGCTGCTGATTTTGCAAGTGTATCACTTCTAGATTTACCTACAGAGAGAGGAACAAAAGGGGAACTGAAGGGGGGAGGGAAGGTGCTTGGGAGCTGCCTAAACTCTTGAGTGGGGAGAAGAGGAAAAAAATCAGGCATAACTCCACTGAATTACCCCCTCTGTAAATATTGTTGCCAACCCTCCAGGATTGGCCTGGAGTCTCCAGGAATTAAAAGATTAATCTTTAATTAAAGATTATGTCCGGTGATTAAATCTCCAGGTATACATCCAGCCAAAATTGGCAACCCCAACTGTAAATGAAATCAGAATCTGGCTCTAGATGAGAGCTCCAGGCATGGCCCTAGCATTGCAGCTAATTCAGAATGAAATCAGATGGGGGAGAAGACAGAGAGGAAGAATAGGCCCCATGTGAGGGAACTTAATTAGCTCGAGGTTTGAATTCTAATTCTAGGTAGGCACTTGGGACAGCGTGAAGGATCAGATGGTTCCCTCTGGGAATATTTTGAAAAATACATGTAAACTGGAAATATTCCTCCTCTCTCCCTCCACCCACCCCCATTTATCCTGTTGCTACACTACTACATACAATTTATTGTATTGTCAATCATGGGACTTTCTCCCTGAAAGAGATTTGAATTCCTGTTACCTGAATCATCATTAGCACCTATAACATATCATAAATCCACAAAAAAGAATGACAATACAAACATGTTTCTAGCTATTTTTCATTTCCCTTATTCCCCCAATCCCCATTATCACATTATTTCAAGGTATATTGCTTAGTAAGAGTATAGCATTTAGGACTCAGAAGGAGAAAATAAAATGTAAAAAAGAGCAGTTGAGCATATTTCACATTTTAAAAGTTAAATAATGCAGCCACTATAGCTATAAATGCAATAGTTCTTCCCCCATTTGGTGGCGGAGGGTAAATCAGAGTTTTGAAAATACATTATTAGAAATAACCATAAGACTAATATAACTAAGGATCACAAACTTCCATAAGAAATATTCATTAACATAAGGCCACTGAAAGGTGCATGACTCAACCATTCTATAAATCAGCTTATGCAGAGTAAAACTAGCTCATATTACTGCTAAAAACAGACTTTTTATGTAACAACATTTAGGAAGCATTTTACTCTGGATGTTTCAGTAATAGGAAACACTACCTTATCTTTGTGAAAGTTAGAATTGGAAAAAAAAATCTAATCAGGCACCAATTTCCGTAGTGTGAGAGCTCCCCAAACAAACCCAAAACAAGACAAGGTTCAACAAATCAGCTATTTTTCTGCCTCCTTCCCTAACAGGGTTGCAAGAAATCTGTACCCATTGTTGATTGGAAGAGTTTTGTAGAACAGATGGAAATGTAAAAACAATGGAGTTAGAATATTTGTAATTCTATATAGTCAAGGGTGCCTAGTGGCTTGGATGGGTGTCTATCTTTTTACTGTGAAAATCAAAATAAATAAAATAAATTAGATCTTAGAAAGCAGTTTTGTTGATATATGCGATAGCTGTACTCTGGTCTAACTCTTTCACAGCTGCACTTAAAATAATAACTAGTGCAATAGGGTGTCAGTAAAATAACCAGAAAACATACAACTGAAAGATACACAGGAACTAGACATGTTGAGTAAGAAAGTGCCTAGTTCAGACACACTCCGTTTTTTTAAATCACAATTTCCATTTGATGATTGCATATTTGTGCACTAGGCATAACATTATCTTAAAGTTGGTTTGCCAAACCACAGTTACTTGCAATGTGCCCCACCCCAGCATTTTTTTTTTAAATAGGGAAAAAGTTCATAGATTCCTATTTCACTTCTGCATATCTGCTGAGTTTTGGCTGTACCAGAGTCTGAAAAACTGAAGCTTTCAGTCATGCGGGGCCTGTGAGAACATAAATGAAACAAAAATCTCCTGACCATACAATACTGTAATGAATAAGAGCAATGCATTTTCTCCTTTTTTTTTTTTTTTAAGAACATGGGAAATGCCTGAACTGTCAATTGAATTACCTACTTTCTTCTATTCTTGCTGCCCTGAGATTTTTGCAGTCACTCTCTATAACCTATAAACAAATTACATCTTTTGTGGAATGTAGCCTTAGTTGTTAGAATTTTTGGAGTGGTTGTGACTAGTGATTTTATCACTTCATAATAAAACTACTCAGGCAACACTGATGAAACAGTTACAAGGCTAGTAACATCTAGATCAGGGATCTCAAACACGCGGCTGGCCCGCGGAGTTATTTCCTGCGGACGCCAAGCTCCCCTCACCCGCCGCTCTCCCTCCCCCCCAGCCTACCTCCAGGTGCTTAGCGCTTTCCAGGAGGGAGGGGGGAGGAGCGGAGAGCCACGCACTCAGGGGAGGAGGCGGAGAAGGGGCGGGGCAGGGGCGGGGATTTGGGGAAGGGGATGGAATAGGGGTGGGAAGAGGCGGGGCTTCATGGAAGAGGTGGAGTGGGGGTGGTGGTGGTGGGGCTTTTGTACCTTTAAATGAAAAGATGTCAGTGATGCAGCCCTCGGGCCAATGTACTAGTCCTCATGTGGCCCTCGTGGTGATTTGAGTTTGAGATCCCTGATCTAGATTATTTTTAAGCTATAGGGTCTACCCAATTTCTAACAACTGATTTTATTTAAAAAACACAAAAAAGAAAGTCCATTCAAATAAATTAGAGTAATTGACACTGGAAAGGGGGCACTGTTGTAATTTCTGTCATGCATAAATGGAGATCCAGAGATATGCATATGTTTTTTTGTTTTTAAAGTAATTTGGCTGCTTTTTTATTGATAAAACTGGTTTCAATCAAATACATTAAAAGTCACCTGTATGCACTTTCTGAATGGAAGAACAATCCCAGAGAAGGAAAAATAAGGAGGATATGAATGACTTCTAAAGGCCAAGATGCAAGCAGAACAAAGTATACTGCAACCATCATGTTGCTCCTGGAGATCTAATAGATTCTCCTTTTTCCAAACAGTAAAGTTGTGATGAAGGAAGGAATAGAATCATTGCATATGGAAATGGGTTGTATTCAGATAACATTACATTCTTTTGAACATAAATAGAGGTGATTAATGTTAGGTTAGATAAGTTCTATGAACATATAGGAACTAGAATGGAGAGTGCATGAGGATGCCAATTGGCTCCTGCACCACTATAGTGCCCTGCACTACTTGTGGACATTATGCAATACTAGAGCTGGAATGTAGGCGACAAGAGAATCATTTACTGATATCATCCAGCCTTCACAACTTTTTACAATTCTTTTATATCTTTTGAATAATATTATAAAATGCAAAATTTGAGGCAAAAGCCCACTTACCTGATCTCCTCTAGGCCAGTTCCATGGGATCTTGTGGAGGTTGTAACAGACATGGGGGTGGTGGAGTGTCATTGTAGAGTGGGAGCTGGCTGATGTGACATTGGAGGATTTGAAATGAAAGTCAAAGGTAAATTTAAAATAGATAAATACTGTATGTCCCATAGTCTTCCTATTTTGTGCTTTCAACATTTAAAATACATTTAATTCATATAGGTATATATTTACACACACACACTGATTTCAATGGGAGTTGAGTGTCTTAGCTTCTTACACAATTGGTCCTTTAACATCTACTTTAACTAGAGATTTTTCTTCTGTATTTCTACAATATGCTGATTAGTTGATTATATTTCTTCATTTTGGATGAATTCTTAGTATTTCTGTTGCCCTTCTGTAAACTAGGTACTGTGCTGTTATGTTGTGCAAATATTTTCTTCTTCTATTTGCATTAAGAACCACCTAATTTAATATTAGACTTCAATTGTAAATGATTTCTAAGATATGCAGTATATGAGTGCATATCATAGCGTCCCTAGTATTTTGTGACCATGCTTTTTTTTTATTTCACTCCACACGGTTATATATTATTGTAGGAAAGATCAGCTTTGATCTGAGCCAAATAAAATAGTGCTTGATCATGCAAATCCTTATTCACATGAATACTTCTACTCATGGGTGTAGTTCCATTTAATTTAGTGTGACAACTCACATAAGTAGGGACTACTCTTGTAAGCAAAAGTTTGCAGGATCAGGCCCAATTCCAGTCCCCAAGGCCAATGTCAAATTAGGCCTTTTAACCAAGAAACCATTTAAGGAGCCTCATATTTACTCTGAAATGTTGTGTCAGCAGCAAACACTTGCTCAATATAACTCCTGCTTTTGGTCTGACTCAGTATGGCCATTCTTATGTTCTTATGTTTAATTGCCTAATGTCTGATGACAGGATTGAAAATTCTGGCCAGAGTAAAAAAAAGTGTGTTAAATTAACACACACAAAAGTTCAGTAGTAATAGACTTCATCTAAAGCTAGCTGTGAGAGTCTTCAGATTTTATCATTTATTCATTTGCTAAGTAAACAATTTTACCTAGATACACAGAAGTATTTAGGCACTTAAACCCTAGATGCAGGCACCCAAGTCTCTGGGCCAAAGAAAGAAAGTGAGAATGACTGTAGTCCAGTGGTTAGGGCACCCACCTGAGAGG